TAGATGCTCCTAAATCTAGCATTGCTTTTTCAAACCTAGTGTTACCAATAATGCAAGGGATGGTAAAACTTCCTGGATCCTTAGATTTTGGTGGAAGTTTCTTTTGCAAGACCGTCGGGACATTTTCTCCTACGCTTACCACTTCATTACCTTTCAATCTATGCTTGTTAGTGCACAATTCCTTGAGAAACTTTGCATAACGTGGCACTTGATAAATGGCATTCAAAAGTGGTACGTTCACTTGAACCTTGCAAAAAGTCTCCAATATTTCCTTCTCATGTTCATCCCTTTTGGACTTTTCAAACCTACCAGGAAATGGAGGGGAGGTAACATAAGTAGGAATATGACTTTTAGAATCTACCTTAGATCCCTAGGTTGGAGTTTTAGCTTCATCTTTCTCACATGCTATGTTTTTCTCTTGCGTTGATTCCACAACTTGATCTTTCATTTTCCTTGGTGCCTCTTCCAAAATTTTTCCGCTTCTTAGTGTTATGAAACTAGCATTTTCTCTCAGGTTGATTGCTTGAGAATGGAGTTTTTCCGATCTTTGAGCCTCCAACTTACCCACCGTGTTGGCCAATTGACAAATTGTGTCTCCAAATTCTTAATTGAGGTTTTTGTCTCCTGTTGAAATTGCATTATACGAGAAGCTAAGGACTTCACCATATCTTCGAGAGACATCTCTGAACTTTGAGACGAAGTTTGTTGATGAGGTTGAGAGTGTTGTGGTTGCCTTTGTTGATTGAACCCCAAGGAATGATTAAATTGTGATTGTGGAGCTATGAAATGATTCTGTAACTGAGACTAGGATGAGCTCTCAATCCAGGATTAAAAGTATTAGCATATGGATTATATCTATGTCCCTATTGCATTGGAAATCCCCCCAATGACATTCGCTTGCTCTGAGGCTCTTTCTTGTAGTGTCGGGCATGCATAGGTAGGATGTCCCAGAATAGAACAATTCCTGCACACTTTTACTTGTTGCATTGTCCCAAGTGCCATTTGTTGCACAAGCGATGTAAGACTAGTTAATTGTCGTTCAATTTGAGAGGTTGCTCCTACCTCACTTGCTTGTTTAACCAGTGTCGCTTCTCTACTACCAAATTGTTGTGAGTTTGCGACCATGTTGGCTATCAAATCCCTAGCAACTGTCGGTGTTTTATCCATTAAAGTTCCTCCACTTGCCGCATCAATCATACTTCTCTCCATCGGAAGTAATCCTTCATAGAAGTATTGTAGAAGTAATTGTTCACTGATTTGGTGGTTTGGGCAACTAGCATATAGCCTTTTGAATCTCTCCCAATACTCATAGAGATTTTTCCCTTGAGATTGTCGAATGCTACAGATTTCTTTCCTGATGTTTGTAGCCTTTGAAGTTGGGAAATACCTCTCCAAGAAGAGCTTTTGCATTTCATTCCACGTGGTAATAAAACTGGCCGACAAATAATAGGGCCATTCCTTACCAGTGTCTACAAGAGAGAAAGGGAATGCCCGCAATTTCACTTGCTCTTCCGATATACCCGCCAGTTTCATGCTTGAGCAAACTACATGAAACTCTTTCAAATACTTATTTGGATCCTCTCCGGAGAATCCATGAAATGTGGGAAGTAGATGAATAATCCCGGACTTTAATTCAAATCCCACATCCACTTGAGGATATTGAATGCATAGAGGTTGTCGAACATAAATTGAAGCTGCAAGTTCCTTTAAGGTCCGATTTGCATCCACCATTTCGGGCTCTATGTATTCGGAGTCACTTGAGGATTCAATGCTCAATTGCCTTAGATGTCTAGTTGGAGAAATGTCTTCTCCACTTTCCGATGTGTCAGCCTCTTTTCTTGATCTTAGGTTGTAGTGTGTT